ACTTGAGTGTATGAATAATTGGGTGAAATTTTTTGTATATATAGTATATCTCAAAAGCTGTTAAAATGATCCTAAGAATAGTTAAAGTAGGCTGTCCTAAAGGGAAAAAAAAAAAAAAGAAAACAGACGAGTGTGGGGTATATTACAAATTTGCCTTTGTCCTCTCTGGTCTCCTGGGCTCAGGGAGCAGCTACTGAGCAGAGGAGAACAGGGAAGGTAGAAAGCCTCAGAACATGCTTTTGAAGCCAGGTTTGACCACTTCCTTCCAAGAGAATATAAAATATCCTTAATCATACTTGTTTTGTCATCAAATGGGAACTGAATCCCCTACAAGGCAGGGTTGTCTCAGATAAGACCTTGTACATACCACCCTTAGAACATTGCCTGGAACATATGAAGCGCTCAGTAAATGCTAGGGGCGACCTCTTTTTCTATGTGGTTCCTTGCCAAGATTCTTTCCCGGTGGTCAGCAGAAAGACATGGGCAAGGGGACTGCTAATGATTTTAATGTTTGGGGTTTGGGTTTTTTTAGCACAGTTTCTGAAAGTTGTTTCTAGATAGACTTTTCAACATACGGTATTAAATTTGATTTGAGGATGGACAGATTATGAATAACAAAACTGTGGTGTCGGCAGGCATGATAGCACCCACACAAACTTGATATCCACCCGATCTTTGAAAAAACAGACGATGAAAACCTGTTGTGTCATTCTCTTAATCTGAGGGCTAAAACTGAGTGTGTGTGTATTTTAAATGAATCAGACCTAAACTTGAGCTTATAATAAATCCCATATAAATAAATGGGTTCTGACCTGAAACTGCCCATTTCTAAGGTCCCTGGATTGTGGTGGTGGATATTATCCACTGTGTTCCCATAAAAAGTTCGGTCAGACATTTATTTTTGCTTCAGCTTGTTCTGGAAAGTGTTTAGTGCTGTTCCCAAAGTTATAATACAAGGTAATAAAATAACTGAAAATGCAGGAGAACAGAATTAGGAATACAAGTCAAATTAGGTGGGACCAGAAGTGAAATTCGCATCCAGAATATAAGGCCAAGCCCTACACAAACATGAACACTGACCCCCAAACGGGACCTGTATGCTTTCCTGAATCAACTCAGTAATGTAAATAAAAACGGAGAAGAGCCACAGAACTCTGAAGATTAAAATTAATAAGAAAATATAAAAAGCGTTGTCTTCAGAAATGCAAAAAAAAAAAAAAAAAAAAAAAAAAAAGAGTCATCCTGATACTAAAATTCGAGATTTTTCCATAAGTCACCTCAGAAGGAATATCGGCTAACGAGCATGAGGAAGAGGGTTTTTACACTCAACCTCGTGACAATTTCCACCCGTACCGTGTGTGAAAGCAGTTCTTCCCAAGACCTGTGTGTGTACCCAGGGCGTTGACTCCAAACCACTGCACAACATTCCCTTCCAGAGACAAGAAATAGGCTTTAGGTTCTCATTTCAAAAATGGAAAATAGGGGCTCAGTGGGTTAAAGCCTCTGCCTTCGGCTCAGGTCATGATCCCAGGGTCCTAGGATCGAGCCCTGCATCGGGCTTTCTGCTCCACAGGGAGCCTGCTTCCTCCTCTCTCTCTGCCTGCCTCTCTGCCTACTTGTGATCTCTGTCAAATAAATAAATAAAATCTTTTAAAAAAAATGAAAAATAGATCTCAGGTGTGAGTGCAACCAGAAAGTTGTATCAGCAGAGATATCATGCAAGAATTTGTGTTCTTGACGTTGCCTACTGTTGCATGATTTCCATTTTAGAGAGGTTAGGAGGAATTTAAAGAAAAAGAAAAAAACTGGTTACCCATCTGAGAATCCTAGGTTAGCTTTGTACTTCGTGTGGAAAGGGAGATGTAGACCGCAGGACCAGAAGGAAAATGCTGTGACACAAAACGCAAGAGCTAGATACTTGCATTTTTAAAAATTTTAATTTCAATTTTGATTGAAAAATCAGAATGGTGTTATGAAAATGTTAGAGTCTTGCCTTTTCAAAAGTAAGTTTAAATTTGGTATCATTATTATTTTTCTTTCTATAACACAACTCAAATTCCCTTGGGTTTTTTTTTTTTTTATTTTTTTTAAATTTAAGTAGAGCTGATATACAATGTGACATTGGTTTCAGCTGTACACCTCAGTGACTTGGGAAGCTTATAGGTTATGCTATGTCAAAACCCTTTAAATAAGAGTAACAAATGTTTGCATATTTCAGTTGCTAAATACATGAAGATCTCAAGTCGATTCTTATTCAGTAATTAAAAAAAAAACAACAAAGAAATGTCAGTAATTTTCTTTTTATACTCTCAATTTCTCCATATTCTTAGTTGTCAGAAGTGGGTTACATTTCTCTGTGAATCATCTTTTTTTTTCTTAGGCGCACACATACACTGAAATTAGTTTTATTTAATATTATTCATCTTAGTTGCTAATGGAAGCATGCCAAAATTACTCCTCATACTTACCTCCCAGTTGGTTTCACAAATGCGTGAGAATTCTAGCCTGGCTCTGGACAACAGCTTAAGTATAGCTAGAGAGGCTGCATTGGCTAACTGAATATTTAATGATTTTACAGAATCATTTCTTTATTTGTTGTTATATTTTTAGTTGAGATAGTGGTGTTGTGGCTATGATTTTTTAAGAGCCTTTATCTTTTAGAAATAATGTTGAAATAAAATTATATGACGTAAGAGATTTGCTGCAAAATAATAAATGTGGGGAAAGATATGAGTTATTAAAAAAAAGAGAGAGAGAGAATTGTCTATGTGTTGGTACACACAGAGGAGGCTGAGTAATGAGTGGCCTGGGGAATTCTCTCTACTTTTGTAAGTTTGGAAATTTTCTCTAATAAAAGGCAGAAGCAACGGCAGTAGCAGCTCTGAAATTTTCCACGAGGTTTTTGGAACCGCTTAAAAAGTAAACATGGAGGGACACCTGGGTGGCTCAGTTGTTAAGTGTCTGCCTTCCATCTGGGTCATGATCCCGGGGTTGGAGTCCCACAAGGGTCTCCCTGCTCAGCGGGAAACCTACTTCTCCCTCTCCCACTCCTCCTACTTGTGTTCTCTCTCTTGCTGTGTCTCTCAGTCAAATAAATAAGTAAAATCTTAAAAAAAAAAAAAAAAAGTAAATATGGAGAATCCTGGAGACCTAGCTATATTCTAATCCAGTGTCTTTGTTCACCAACCACGAAGTAGAAGCCGAGATTGTTGTTGCTTTTGTGTTCTTCCGGTGTTGTCCAAAGCATCTGCTTTAAAAACACAGTGCCCACCATCCCTATTAACATGGACCCCAGAAATCGTGCGTCTTGGTTCTTAATTCGAGCTCTCCTCTCTAATTCTGTCTCAGAGGCTTCAGTTCAGACTGCTGCAGAAAAAAAATGATTCTGACACCTGATGAAGACTGTGAAGGGACTTTATTCAGGAAACTACTACACTGGGGGTTTGCAGGAGGGAAGAGAGATGGAGCTCGATTCCAAAAATCACCATGACACTAAGGTTACCATTGTCTCTCAAGAGCATCTTGACAATAGAAAATAGAGGATTTCTCATTTGGGGTGTGTGTGTGTGTGTGTGTGTTCATATGGCTCTTTGAAGGGAAAAAAGAAATTTAAGGAAGCCTATATAAACACCCTCACTGGAGTGATAAGAGAAGCAGTGCGAGATTCTAGAAGAAACCATAAATCTAGGGAGACAAAAACTGAGAGGTTCAGCTCCTCTCCATCCTACGGAGATTTACCTTCATTGTCAGCTGTGGGTAGTTGGAGTTGTTCCTGACAATGAGGAGCCCGACAGACCATAGGTGTAGAGACTCGGCAGACCTCTAAAGACTGTCCCTAATACTAGGACATCAGAACCTCATGGCCCCTCACCTCTCCTGCCCCTTCTGAGGTTTTGTACCTAATTGCATACTCATGACTTTAAGTTTCTTTTTTCAAAGAGGGCCCCCACGGTATTCAGGTGCACCCTTGTATGGAATCGTGAATCTTCCAGAAAAGAACCAGCTCTTTATTTTTTTTTTCCCTCCAAAAAATCAACAGACATGAGGCATCAGAAGCCCCAGATTTGGTGCAGATCAGAGATGGGAATGGGTGCTTCCTGGGGCTGCCGTGAGGATGACTGATGTGGGAAGGGATATAAATATTCTAATGAAGGGGTTTGTGAAAATTTACGTAACTTCTTTTATATTTAGCAGATGATGTGTTGTCATTTGCTTCCATAGCACTGTTAATTTAATTTGGGTAATTTTGGAAATATGAATTCATAAAGCCACCTCTTACTTGGAGAGAAGGAGAGCTTGCCATCATGGGTGAAATTGAGCTCTGTGCCCACAGGGGCTTGAGGGAACCAAAAATCACAGTTCACGTGTAATTTGTAGTTTTAGAAAATGCCCAAAAAAACAAACAAAGAAACACAAAAAAACAGTGAATTAGTATCCCCAAAGAGTAAAATTTTCAAGGTTTCCTTTCTAATATACCTAATGCTTCTGGGCCACATTTAACCCATCTGCTCAGTCACGGCTATTCGTAATCGTGGCTCACGGAAACTTAAAGGGACAACAGCTAAAACCGAACTTACCGTTGTGATAGGCATGCTTTTCCCTGCTGACGTGACAGTACCACTAGGCAGGTGACTGAGTTCGAAGAACTTTAAAATTACTGTTAAAATAGCTGTTGCATGTATCATTGGTGAATGCCACAAAATTACTTTAGACTCGTAATTTTCATTTGGTGGAACTTTCTGGAAGGACGAGAATGTTTGGCAGGTGGAATCGAGTGACGATAACACGGGTGTATCCATTTCTCCTCAGGCCGATCTCAAGTCCTGTGCGTTTTACCGTGTGTGAAGTAGACTTCTATAAGGAAAACAATTCACGGGCTACCTGCCAAAAAAAAAAAAAAAAAAAAAATTGGTGGGGTGAGGGGCAGTTTCTTTTTACTTGTAACTTTTTAAAAGATTCTAACACCTGTGCTTTCTTACTCGAATTTTTTCAAATGTTAGGAATTCTTCGATCATGTGAAGAAGCTCTGGGATGATGAAGGCGTGAAGGCGTGCTTTGAGAGGTCCAACGAGTATCAGCTAATCGACTGCGCACAATAGTAAGTCAGCTCCTGAGCGTGGCCCGGCCTCTCCGAGGCTACCCTTCCCCCCCTCAATTATGCCGCCCTCCCAGGTCAATGAAGTCTCTTGAGTACAAGAAACAAAGCATTAACATCTTACTACAGAAATCAGTTTTTCAAAGGGCCCGGGTTTGGTAGATGGAAAACTGAAACTCCGATGGGAATTAGTGTTTCAAGGAAGAACCAGAAGCAGGTGTGTTCATTTTCCCCGAACCCGTTTTCAGTTCTGTTTGTCCTTTTGCTTTCTATAAAATGACAGGCATATCTGCGAATTGGTAGGTGCTTAGATATTCGTTATTATATTTTCACATTGGAACAAGACCCCCAAATTAAATTTTAAAATACTATCCACGTCCGCCATCGAGCCCAAGCACTTACTTGAATGATAAGCGATACCCTGTTCATGTTAGAAATAGACTAGACCCTTGAAAGTAGATGGTAATTAATAGAATAAATAAAGCCTTGATGGAAAAAAGTGCAATGAAGAGAAATAGGAAATAAGGAAAGGACTCTGGTGCCTAGGCTGGCCCATTGTTTTTCCCTGAAATGCTCACTTTCCTATTTTCTTTTGCTATTTTAGATTCATTCTATGACCGTTAGATAATAGTGGGCCCAAGAAGAAAGTTAATCAAGAATGTCTAGATATGTTTGCTATTTTGGTGACAAAAACTGTATTTAAAGTTGTTTTATATAACACTTGGGACAGCAAGAAATGAGTGCTTTTACATTTTAAGTCTGGAAACTCTAAAAATGCTTACATGGGGAAGAGATTCCATAAGCATGCAATCTGGGAATCCACGATAGATGGAAGCCACTGGTGGAGCTACGCTGGGAATGCTGATTTCCAGGAGAGGGTAGCTGAGTGGCCACCCCAGCCCCTCCTCATTCAGAGGAGGTCAGGCACCATCGCCTCATGACAGGCACCGAGAAAAGCCAATGGCAAGGGTGCTGGGTGTGTCCCAAGCAGTGACAGGAAGCCAGTCTGGGGACAGATGGGTAAGGGAAGAGTGGCCATAAACACATGAGAGAGGTCAGTGAGGCCAGACCCTCCCGATTGCCAAAGGTTCTGCCAAGGACCTTGGATTTCTTCCAAATGCAGTGAGTGACCATTGGCTCTGTGATGGAGATTGTTGGGGTCACTCTGGCCACTGTGTGGCACATTAGAAGAAGGGAACAAGGACCCGAGCGGGATGGCTGGCATCAGGTGCAGCCATGGAGGTGAGCCCTGGGACCCAAAGGGGTTAGAACGAGGTGGTGAATCAGAATGCTGGGGACAGAGGAAAGTGGGGATCAAGGAGGACAAGAGGGAAGGTCACAGTGCCATTTATTGAAAGGGAGGAATCCAGGAGATGTTATGTGGGGGAGGATGGGATAATATCAGACTCCGATTTGGAGAAGTTAGATTGGAGATAGAGAGGCTGCCCAAGGGGAGAGAGGAAGCAGATGGCTGCTTGTAGGAGCCTGGAGCTCAGAATCGACAGGGGCCTGGACAAGGAAGTTCAGTCCCCAGAGATTGGTTTCAGGAGGAAGAGGAGCCTAAAACTACAACAGAGAAGTAGGTGGAGAGGGAGTCCTTCAGAGGAGGGGGAAGGATCTCAGGGTTGAGATGGGGGAGATTGATGATGTTAAGAAGCTTCACTTAACCTCCTTCTTATGATGACCAAGAACTGGCTCATCGTCCCCCCAGTCCATGAGCATTGGGTGAGCGACAGGTGTGTCTCGCAAGTGGTCTTGTTGAGGCAGGGGTAGTGAAACAGCAGTGCACGTCCACCTGCTGTGTACCCTGAAATGAGCACCAGGAGCATTAATGGCCCTCCACTGTATACGCTGAAGAAACTATTTACTAATTTAAAATTTTTGCGATCTAGAATAGTATGTAAAATTTCCCGTCTCCTGCCACTCTTTACCATTCCCTCAAGACTTACCTTCAGTCAATATTCCCTTTTTAAATTGGCGTGCCCTTTAGTTGACATCTGTGAGTACACTGCTGTGGTTACTGTCCTGTTATTTGTTATGGACGTTTGCTTCCACGAGAGCGAGGCTGGGTTAGATGTGGATGTAGAGTGGGGCAGGGTTCCCCGTGGAGCTCAGACACACCCTGGGGGGGGGTCTCAGGAGGCACACCCCTTCCTGAAGGGCCCTTATCTTTCCTTCTGGCTCTCACTAGCTCTTTCTCAAACCTGTCATCTCTGTTGTTTTAAAAGCCACCGTGGTGTTGTAGAGACAGAAAGAGTACCCTAAGTTAATGCTAGCAATTTCAAGCACAGCTCATAATGATTTTAAATTCACCTTCATTGGCATTTCGAGTTGATGGGAATGTGTGCTCTATCGTCCTTTTCTGGTATTTCTTGAGCAGAGACATGGTGAGGGAGCGTTGCAGTGCTACTCAGTATCATATCAGGAATTTCCCTTTCTTAAAAGAAAGAACAGACCACTTACTTTCACACCACTCCAGGGATAGAATGAATGGCTTAATTTAACGTTGAATATGCAAGTATAAATTTTTTAAAAGGAAGAGTTAGTATGAGCCTTGACGACAGGGAATTAGGATTCAGATGCCTGCTCCTCCACGGACAGTCATGTAAGGCTCTAGGCAAACTCATGGGGACAATTATGGGTCCCGTTTGCATACAGTTCTCGTAGCATTAAATATGTATATCTCCAAAGTCCTCAAAATAGTGCCCGCAAGCCCTAGATCAGCTCTTGCTGTTACGTCATCATGTGGAAGCTGAGGGCCAGAGAGGTCAACTAAGGCACGTAAGATCATGGTTTCCCAGAGCCAACGTCTGGCTTTCCTTTGGTCCCATCCTTTCAAATGACTGAGAGCCATGGGCACGGGCTGCCTCATGCGTGAGGTCAAGACTCCCTCCCAGACTTGACAGGAACGAGGCACCAAAGCTTGAGCGGTGCTTTCTTAACTCTGGGTCTGGCCAAATCACAGAAAGCAGTTGCCCACCAAGACCTCACTATCTGGGTTAATAATCCTCACTGTTACGACGTTGCTTTCTTTATCCATTTTAATACACACTGGAATCAAGTTGGATCAATAACCTTTGTTATTAATAGCTTAATAGTTATTATTAATAGCTTATGGATAGCTTAATAGCTGCTGTTTTGCCTCTAAACCCAGATTTCAAGGTAGGGGGTGAGAGATTTTTAAAAAACAAGGAATGTCTTGGAAACATTTGTTAGAGCAATATAGGGCTAACAGAAATACTATGTCGTCAAATTCGAAGTTAAAGAAATAGAAGCTGCCTCCACCAGTTGTCAGCGTCCAGCTGCCTCCACCAGTCGTCAGCGACCCTCCCGTGAAAGAAAGGACATGTCAGCATGAAACCCAAGACGGTGACACTCAGGCCATTTTGTCCAACCCTTGTAATCTTTAATTCTTCAGGGAAGGTGTCTTATTCCTCCTTAAATGTCCAGGTGAATGTTCTTTCATGAAGTCCGTGCACAGTAGGTGCTATTTGGAAAAATTAATTAGCAAAAGAGGAGCCTGGTATGAGCTATGGTAGTAATAGGAAAAGCTGGTCTGTCCCTTTAAAAGTGCACACCCTACCCCAGATTCAGGTTCTGTGGCCTCCTTCTCCCGCCTTGCAAATCCCCAGTGTTCTGACACATTTTCTTTTTTCCTCCCATCAAAATTGCTCTGAGAAAAGATCTGACTTACATCTCGGTGTGAATGTAAGTCACTGTGTTCCCTCGCTCAACAGTATTGCATTTTGAACCTTAACGCTTTAAATTAGGAAGGGAATAATTCTAAGCTCCATTAAAGTCATTTCTTCCATGGCAGAAACCAGGAGAATATTTTGGGGAAGAGAGGTTCTCAGTGATGCTGAAATTCTGTTAAGGCAGAGCTGCCGATGAGGAGTCTGGGAATATCTGGAAGGTCCTTAAAAGCTTATACACAGAGGTACCCAGAAGTTCCACTCCTGAATTACTCAAGAAAATTAAAAACATACATCCAGGGGCGCCTGGGTGGCTCCGTCAGTTAAGCATCTGCCTTCAGCTCAGGTCATGAGCTCAGGGTCAGGGATCAAGCCCCGCAGCAGGCTCCCTGCTCAGAGAGGAGCCTGCTTCTCCTTCTCCCTCTGCTTCTCCCCGTGCTTGTGCTCCGTCTCTCTCTCTCTCTCTCTCTCTCTGTCAAATAAATAAATAAAATCTTAAAAAAAAAATACGTCCACACAAAAACTCATCCAGGGATATACATGACAGCATTCTTCACAAGAGCCAAAGAGTGCTAACAACCCAAATGTCCATCAAATAATGAATGGGTATAGAAAACAGGGTCCATCACACAATGGAATATTTTTTGGACTAAAAATGGATGAAGCACTGATTCATGCTACCACATCAATGAACCTTTAAAACATTACATTAAGTGAGAGAAGACAGACACAAAAGGCCACATATTATATGGTTGGGTTTATATGAAATGTCCAGGATAGGCAAATCCACAGAAACAGAAAATAGATTACTGAGTGCCAGGGGGCAGGGAAAATGGAGAGTGACTGCTAGTGGGTATAGGATTTCTTTGGGGGATAATGGGAACATTCTGGAATAGGATGGTATTGATAGTTGCACAACCTTGTGATTATAGTAAATACCATTGTACAATTCAAACTGGTGAATTTTTATGTTATGTGGAATATACGTTATGTGAATTATATCTCAATCTTTAAAAAAAAAAAAAAAGGACGATTATGGAGGAGGGAGGGAGTCAGGGCAGGAAAAGCAACGGGAACACTGGTCAAGGTCGGCCAGAGGGGCAAGGTCCTCCCTGAGCCGGGGGTCCTCTTGTCAACCACAGATGAAAGTCTATGTTTGCATTTACAAAGCCTGCTTTTTAGAAGGCCTCCATCAATCACAAATGCATGCCACTCTGATTCTAAAAACACATATAAGCAAACAGGAGCCCCCAAATTGTAAAGCATCCATGATATAAAAATGAAAAAAGCTATGGCGATCTTTATCATGCT